GTAAGCGGGTTTTTAAAAAATGTAACAATGTTTCTAAAACTGTACTATATGACTGTTGTACTTTACGCCATAAAAATTTTATAGTGATTCCTTCATTAGTGTATAGGCGAGGCTACTGTGAAGAGCTGTATCAATTCCACTAGGCTACCATAGAGCAATCATGCTGCCGCTGCTTCATTATTAGTGCATGAATTGTTATACCTGTAAATAAGTCTGCATTCCTTTTCACTTCTAATGTCTAGTGTTAGCAATATGTATAACATCTACAGTTTTGTATCCTATAAGACAAAACTGGCGTAGGTACTGACAGATGGTTACTCATGTAAACAGACAAGGTAAACTTACAGTATTGGTAAATACACTACAGTACTGTAAATGTATCTTCTCTTATGATTTTTTAATATTTTCCTTTCTCTACTTTATTGTAAGATTACAGCATATAAGACGTATGACCTAGAAAATATTTGAAATGACTGTTTCTGTTATTAGTAAGGCTTCCGGTCAATAGTAGGCTATCAATAGTTAATGTTTCTGGGAAGTCAACAGTTATCACGGATTTTTGACCATATAGGGGGTTGATACCCCATACTCCCTTGTTGCTCAAGGGTCAACTGTAATTAGTTAATAAGGGATACACATGGTAAAAAGATGTGAATTGTGACATCAAAATCAAAATGTTGGGGGAGAGAGTAAAAATGTAGAACTTTAGCATGCATTTAAACTTAAGTTGTTATGAACTGGAAATAAATGGTTATAAATATAAGTTATATGAAAGCCTCATGGTAACCACAAAGCAAAAACCTATGACAGATACACAGAGGATAAAGGGAAAGGAAGCTAAGCCTACCACTACAGAAAGTTATTAAACCATGAAGGAAGAAAGCAGGAGAAGAAAGGAACACAGAGGAACTACAAAACAGCAAAAGGCATATGCCTATCATTGATTATTTTAAATATAAATGGACTATCTTCTCCAACCCATCTATACGCTGCCTCTAAGAGAGTCACTTGAGAACTAAGGACATACACAGACTGAAAGTGAAGGAATGAAAAAATATTCCATGGAAATGGAAACCAAAAGAAAGCTGGTATAGTTATATTAGACAAAAAAGACTCTAAAACAAAGACTATAATAAAGACAAAAAAAGGCATTACACAGTGATAAAGGGGCCAATCCAGTAAGAGGACATAGCATTTTTATTTATGTACCCAACACTGGAGCACCTAAATATGTGAAGAAAATATAAACAGACCTAAAAGGAGAAATAGCAATATGGTAATAGTAGGGGACTTTGATAACCCACTTTCATCAATGGACAGATCATCTAGACAAGTCAATTAGGGAACATCAACCTTAAATGACACACTAGGCCAGATGGACTTAACAGCTTATACAAAATATTCCATCCCAAAACAAAAGAATATACATTCTTTTCAGTCACACATAGAACATTCTCCAGGATGGGTCATATGTTAGGTCGCAAGTCTTAATAAATTTAACATGACTGAAATGAAATCAAACATTTTTTTTCCACTATAATGCTATGAAACTAGAGATCAATTACAAGAAGAAAACAGGAAAATTCACAAATATGTGGAAACTAAATGATGTGCTACTGAACAAGCAATGGGTCAAAGAAGACATCACAAGAGAAATCAAGAAATACTTTCAGAAAAATGAAAATGGAAATACAACATACCAGAGCTTATGGGATGCAGGAAAAGCAGTTTCAAGAGGGAAGTTCATAGTGACAAATGCCTACATATCAAGAAACATCTCAAATAAGCAACCTAACTTTACACCTGAAGGACCAGGAGAAGAACAAATAAAGCCCAAAGTTAGTCGAAGAAAGGCAGTAACAGATCAGAGTGGAAATAAAACAGAAGCTAAAACAAAACACACAAAACAGAGATCAATGACACTAAGAAATGGTTCTTTGAAAAGATAAATAAAATTGACAAAGCTTTCGCTAGACTCACCAAGAAAAAAAGACAGAAGATTCAAAATCAGAAATGAAACAGCAGACACGGTAACTGAGATACCAGAGAAACACAGAGGATCTTAGGAGACTACAGTGAAGAATTATACGCCAATAAATTGTGCCTAAGAAGAAATGCATAAACCCCAACATACAACTTGCCAAAAGTGAATCATGATTATGAGACTAACGTGCCACCTGCTAAGTCACTAAAACTGAATCATGAAGAAACCAAAAACCTGAACAGACTGATTACTAGTAAGGAGATGGTTGGAAGGTCTGTGATTACTGATTCAAACAAAAGAGGACTTTACCGTTGAATTCTACCGAACATTCAAAGAATTAACCTTTTTAAAATTCTTCCAAAAAAAAAAAAAAAAGAAGCGGCAGCAGCAGCAGCAGCAAAAAGAACACTTCCAAACTCATTTTATGAGGCTAGCATTACCCACCCGGATACCAAAACTAGACAGGGATACCACAAGAAAAAAAAAGTCACAGGCAATACCCTTGATGAAGGATGTATTATTCCATCTACATGCAAAAATCCTCAACAAAATATTAGTAGACCGAATTCAACAATACATTAAAAGGGACCATATACTATGATCAAGTGGGATTTGTCTCAGGGATGTAAGGATGGTTCAACATCCACAAATCAATGTGATATACCACACATTGATGAAATGTGGGATAAAAATCATATAATCATCTCAGTAGATGCAGAAAAAGCATTTGACAAAAATCAACATCTATTTATGATAAAAAAAAAATAAAAAAAGTAGGTATAGAGGGGATATACCTTAACATAATAAAGGCCATGTATGACTAGCTCATAGCTGACATACTCCATCATGATGAAAGCTGAAAGCTTCTCCTCTAAGATCAGGAACAAGACAAGGATGTGGACTCTCACCACTTTTACTGAACAAAGTATTAGAAGTCCTACTCAGGGCATTAGATAAGAAATAAAAGGCATCCAAATATGATGTAAAACTCACTATTTGCAGATGGCATGATATTATGAACCCTAAAGACTCCATCAACAACTCTAAGAATTAACAAGGGGATGGAGTAAAGGTGTAGGGTACCAAATCCATTCACACAAATCTGTTGCCTTTCTATACACTAATAACAAAATATAAGAAAGAGAAATTAACAATCCTACTCACAATTGTATCAAAAGGAATAACCCAGGAGTAACTTTAACCAAGGAAGTAAAAGACCTGTACACTGTAAACTGTAAGATACTGATAAAAGAAACTGAAGACACAAATAAGTAGAAAGATAATTCCATGCTCATAAAAAAATATTGTTAAAATGTCCATACTACACAAAGCAATCTACAGATTCAGTGCAATCCCTATCAAAATTTTAATGGCATTCTTCACAGAAGTAGAACAAGAAATCCTAAAATTATCTGTAATTACAGAAGACTCTGAATAGCCAAAGCTATCTCGGAAAAAAACAAAGCTAGAGGTATTACGCTCCTGATTTCAAACTATATTACAAAGCTATAGTAATCAAAACAGTACGGTATTAGCCTCAAAACAGACACATCATTTATGTGTTCCACATCAATGGAACAAACAATGGAACAGAAGAGAGAGCCTTATGCATATGCATAAACATATGCGTATGTGGCCAATTAATTTATGACAAAGGAGCCAAGAATATACAATAGGGAAAGGATGGTCTTTATGGGACAGCCACATGCAAAAGAATGAAACCAGAGCACTATCTTACACCAAACCACAAAAGTTAACTCATTATGGATAAAAGACTTGATTGTAAGATCTGAAACCAAACTTCCAGAAGAAAACATAGGCAGTAAGCTCCCTGACATCAGTTTTGATGATGACTTTTTGGATGTGACACCAAAAGCAAAGGTAACAAAGGCAAAAATACACAAGTAGACTACACGCACACTAAAAAATCTCTGCTCAGCAAGAAAACCATTAACAATGAAAAGGCAACCTATGGACTGGGAAAAAATATTTGCAAATCTGATAAGGGGGTAATATTCATAATATATGAAGAATTCCTACAACTCGACAGCCAAAAAACAAACCAATTAGAGAATGGGCGAGAATCTGAATAGACATTTTTCCAAAGACAACATACAGATGGCCAAGAGGTAAATGAATAGATGCTCAACATCATTAATGATTAGGGAAATGCAAAATCCAAAACCACAATGAGATACCACTTCACACTTGTTAGAATATCTATTATCAAAAAGGGAAGATACAAGTGTTGGCCAGGGTGTGGAGAAAAGGGAGCCCTTGCACACTGTTAATGGGAATGTAAATCGGTGCAGCCACTGTGGACAACAGTACAGAGGTTCTTCAAAAACAGAGCTACCATAAGATTCAGAAATTCCACTCTGGGTATTTATCCAAAGAAAATGAAAACACTAACTTGAAAAAAATATATGTACCCAAGTTTACTGCACCATTATTTATAACAGCCAAGATATGGAGACAACCTAAGTGTCCACTAATGGATGAATGACACACACACACACACACACACACACACAGAGTAGGATATTACTCAGTCTTAAAAAATGAAATCTCATTTGCAACAACACGGATGGATCTTGAGAACACTATGCTGATTGAAATAAATGAGAGAAAGACAAATAAGTCATGGGGATTACTGTAATGTACAGCATGGTGACTACAGTTAATAATTACTGCATTTTGGAAGTTGCTAAGAAGGCATCTTAGAAGTTCTCATCACAAGAAAAAAAAAACAAACCTTCCAACTATGCAAGGTGACAGATATTAACTAGACTCACTGTGGTGACCATTTCATAATATATACAAACATTGAACCATGTTGTACCACTGAAACTAATACAATGTCTTAAGTTATAACCCAAACCAGAACAGGCATCCCAGATGACTTTTAGGGTCTGGCGAGGCCGAGCATCTGTACCCTGTGGTCTGGGATTACAGGTGCGAGGCTGACCCAGGGAGGCTGGGGAGCTGCAAAGCTGAGCGCACAAGCCCCACTTACCATGCAGCGACTTCATTCCCAAGGTGTACGAAGGCCTCCGCAAGGGGAGAGACTTGGGCAGGGAAGGGTACGTGCTGCTGAACAGGACGTCGTTGGGCAGCGCCTGGTCCAGAAGCGAAGCCCTGGAAGCGAAGAAGTGCTCCCTCTGGCCGCTGTAGATGCTCTCATCCGACAGCGTTCGGTGCAGGGCCCGTCTTGCCGTAGGGGTGGTAGGAAACGGAGACTGAGGAGACGAAAGCGCCTGGAACTGAACAAGAGCATGCAGACGAGTATTTATATGACGGCATCGGTCCTCACGACAGAGTAGCTCTAGCAGGAGGGGCCTCTTGATACACAGCAACTACTGATAGTGTATGTAATGAGTTTTGGAGATTGCTTTTTTAGGATGGATTTCTATTCACTAAAATAGGGAAGCCACCTATATATTTCTATATAAATGGCATAAGTTCCAGATAGCTGTTCTCTTTCGTCTTTTGTTTTTGTCACCAGATTTGATTTTAGTTGAGGTTCTTCTGCAAAAAGCAAGCTTCTGAGAATCCCATTCGTTGAGAAACAACGGACACATTAACAGAATTTAAATATCCAGCCTCAGAGCCAACAGAGTATTTGGCCTGTTAGCAACAAAGTTGCATTTATTCAGTCCTTCCTAGACTAGTGTTCACCTTGACAGGGAGAACACTTGGAGGACAGGTGAGGGTGTGAGTAGGGGGTTGAGTCATAGCTGCCAGAAGACCTCTGTGGGACTTTCCGGGACACTCTGAAGGGGCAGAGAGAGAAGGACACGGCCGCGTCCCCATTTAGGACGCCGAGAATCGAGCTGACGCTCGGGTTCACTCCTGCGCTCTGGAAGCACAGGCTTCCGTTCATCAAATCAAGGGTTAATCAAGTCAAAGCTACCCATGAAGTGGTGTGCACAGTTGCTGCATAAATATGAAAAAATGATTAATCAAACTCATTGTAAATGAGCCTCAGGTGTAGCCAACTGTGTAAAAATTGTGCTCCCTTCTAAAAATTCGTGATGAGTTAGGAGCAAGGTACATATACGCTTGCCTAGAAAATGAAGCTGCTGTGATAAATGCTCTGTGAGTCTTTAAGGACAGGGAACTAGGTATGGAAATGGTGCTTTCCCTTTTGTGGGCATTACAGAGGTTAAATGGCTTGCTGATTATAATTTTAAAAATTACCAGGCCAGGCCCCAGATCTCTCCATTCAAACACTGCCCCCAATCTTTTTTAGCACTTCTGGGTTCAGCAAAGGGATTTCCTTTTCTAGTGACTGTCCCCACCCTGATGGTTATACAGGAAGGAGGTTTTCCACCAATTCTAGTTTCAGCCTCTTTGGGAAATATTAACATACTTTAAGGCAGTGAACCTCTACCTTGAAGAGATCCTTGGAGCGGCATGCTTTCTTAAAAGTTAAAACATCTTGCACTAAAGGGAGGCAGGGTAGGAGATGGAAGGCAGCAATCTGCCTTGATGTTTTCCGCCCATTAAAAAAAAGTCGTCTTGTCCCAACACATTGGGGTGGCCCCTCACCCCAACCCTCTTCCCCTCCAGTCTTGAAAGTGTGTGCACACCGATCTGGTTCCAAGAGCGCCGTGGCCTGCCTTGCAGGGTGCTTGCTGGTGGTGCCCAGTGTTGCCAGCCCTGGGAAAGAACCACCACGGAGTCAATGCTAACTCGCAAGGGATCTGAGAGCACATCAGGCTGGGGGGGGGGGGGGTTACAGACTGCTCCAGGGGACTGTACAGGCTCCTCACAGCATCACTGCATCACTGCATCACTGCATCACTGCCTGGGGAGAAGAGATGTTCAGGTGGGACCCAGGCGCCCATGACACCCACCCCTCCCATCAGAGAAACTGCGCTTTCTCACTTCTCCATATTGGACTTCTGTGTATAATTTTATTAAAAAAAGGGGGGGGCGGTTCTTGAACTTTAAAATCATCTGGGCACCATGGATCAATTTCAAAGCTGAGGAACAAGGCCTAGAGGAGTTGCATCTTGCTCCAGGTCCGGCTCCTGTTCTCTCACTCTTTCCAGTCCTCCTGGCTTCTGTGTAAGGGGTCACCTGCACCTGCAGTAAGCAAACACCAGCTCTTCCCGAACACTGACGCTGCACGAAGCCTCTTCCTGTGGTCTACGCCTGAGAGTCTGGCTGCAAATCAGGACTACGGGTTTGCACTGTGCCTGTTCACTTGCCGCTGGACGCAGCCCTTGGGGAAGACAAGGTGATCTCAGCTCTGCCTGCCAATGAGGTTTCTTAGAATGTTTGAGCTCTGCCATTTTCCTTGAGGCAGGAGTTCTGCAGCGGTTGCTTAGGCCTTGCAGGCCCCTACCTCTGAGCTACAGCCTGCCACGTCCTGCTGCAGACATCTCACTCTGCTGGCAAATCAGCCTGGGAGTGACCCTGTCATTTGATATTAACGATCACTTCCAAGAGGCACTTGCTATCCAAGAAAGCCAATGTGGTCCGAGTGGGTTCCAAGTATCACGGCCCAAAGATGGCCACCGCTGGGACCCTGACACCTGAGGCAGTGGCTCGGGGCCTTGAGCCAGGCATGGCCTGGAAGACTTCTCAAGGGCATGCTGGCCTTCCTGACACAGCAGAGCCATGGGCATTCTGACGGAGAATCTCGGAAGATACACGGAGATAGTTAGCTAAAGTCATCTGAGACCAAACTGAAAAGGACGACACACAGAAAAAAACAGCCTTATTTCCAGCCCTTCCTAGTAACAGAGTAGCCAGCAGAGCGTTTTCTTTGCAGAGGGTCTCAGCAATGCAGTCATGACAAAGTGCACCCCTGTTTCAACTAGGAATGTTAAAATAATTCATTTTGGAAATAAAAGCCAAGAATAGGAATAAGGGCAAAACAGACATTTGCTTTCAGTTATTTCCACGGCATGAGTAAATCAAAAGAATGAAAGCTCTGAGTTCGTCCCTTTCCAAAAATGTTAAACTGAGAATTGGAGGAAAGATTCCTCTCAGGGCAGGTTTTATTTTCCTCTAACCTCAAAGGAAAAATCTGAAAAAATTTTTATTTTGAAACTGGTACTTAAACATTTTAATACATCTCTTTGGGTTCTGATGGCTAAAGAAGTTTCAAGCACTATCTTTTGCGAAGTTGCTAAGGAAACCATTTGTACCCTGCGTGATGAGTCAGAACTGTTAAGTGCTGGCTTATAAAACAGAAATCACAGAAATCAAGAATGGCAAGTCTTTAAAATGATTTATGATGTTAATGTTTATGTTAATAAATCTTTTATTTCTCAAAAGAATGCCAGAATGGCCTTTGGAGTACATTTTTAATTTCTGTAAATGCTGATCTTTCAGTTTAGGGGGTATGTCTGACCTATCTTGAGGTAGGCGCGCACACACAGGTGATGAGAAGCCTGAGTGGGAACGGACAAGGCCACACAGTTCATCCTGCTGGGCATGCCCTCTGTACTCTGACGCCAGCTTGAGGACAGCAAGTGGTTAGGGAAATACTTTAGCTTACCTTTTCAATCAACTGTCAGAGTTCTTCTTAAATTACACTCGCTAGTCACTTCAATTACACTCACTAGTCACTTCCAACAGACTACTCAGTCATTCAGCTAAGAACCTGGACAACAGAACATGTGCGAGTTTGCTGTGCTGTCCTTCCTGGGGGTGGATTCCCTCCTTCTGGGACCATATGGCATACTGCGCGGGGAAATGCCTTGTGCTCAGAGCTTTGGACCCCACTCAACAAAGGCCAGCTCCGAGCCTTGGGGGGGTGAGAATGGCACACTTCTGAGGACAAGAAAGCAGAGAGACTCAAGTAGTCTTCAGGAGTCCTCCGAGCTGAGGTGGGCAGAACAAACCCTTCCACGTGGCCACGGACACACAAACATAAATCCTGAGCACACACTTGGGACTTGATGGGGAGGGAGGCTGGCTTTAGAGGTGACATTTCTAGTCTGGAATTCTGCGAGGGAAGTGGAGAGAAGGTTTTGCCAAGTAAAGAGAGTCTAGAAAGTTCTGAAGGTAAGTGTATAGACCTAGTTTGCTGAGCGGCAGAGGTGGCTTTTGGAGGATGGGGTTGGGGTGAAGAGAGTGGGTGTCCATCAGGCCGTTTCTCTGGCTGACTGGACAGTAAGTACACGGTGCACAGCCGGCAGGCCTGCCTGGCTGGGGTTGGGGGCAGAGGTGAGGCACCCAGGGCAGGACGTGAACTGGGAGCTACTGGGAGCTACTGGCGGCGGGAGGGAGAGACCCTTTGGACAGAAGGCACTAAAGCATTTACAGAACACTTCCTGTCTGATGAGGGAGCCACAGGTGCTCTGCCAAGTTCTCTGAAGCAGTGTCATCTGAGCTAATGTCTGTGAGAGAACGTGGCTTGTGCACTGGGAGTGGGGTACGCTTAAAGAAGATAAAGGAAGGGTGGTAAGGACAGGGGCTAAGAGGTGTGGCAGCGGGGACAGAATGCTTGGAGAACGATGGGAGCTAATTTTAGGGCAGAGTGGGAGAGGGCAGGAACTGGGAGCCAACACCTCCGGAGGGTGCCCCTGGCCTCCCTAACGGCCATGTGCCCCGAGCTCTGTCCTGTACCTTAAAGTTCTTCTGGGATTCGGGAGTTGGGCTTTCCAGGTCGATGAGCTTCTTGAGGTCCTCCTCGATGGTGGACTTGGGGGCTGGCTTGGGGGACGCCCGGAGGTCCCTGGTTGAGGCACGCAGTCTGGTGTGGGCCATCTCGTTGCCATCACTCTGATGGCGCCTTGAAGGGAAGAGATGGGAGAGATCAAGCAGACAAGGGTGATGTAAAGCCATGATGGACCCCGAGGCTGGAAGTCAGGGGGGACATATTAAAGGAGAGCAAAGGACAATCTGCTTGGATAAATGCTTGTGAAGGAAACACAACCAACTGGAAGCACAAAATAAAAATCTGATGGATAAATTGCTCTCCTACAAGAAACCATTACCTCCACTAAGCCAAAATTAGCAAGACTTGTTAATAAGACCACAGGCTATGAATCCCAAATGTAACTTTTGTACAAACAACATAACTGAATGAATCATTTGGAATCCCCCCCACCCCCCGTACTACTTTGTCAAAAAGTTCTTTATATTCCGGGCAGTCCCTTTCTAATACTCCGTCTGGTGGTTCCTAAGTTAAAAATTCCATGGGAAGGCTGTGATGATTACCATCAAAGGGAGAGTGTCACCTTCGTGCCAGAGGGTCAATTATTCGGAAGTTTGTTGTTCAGACATACTCCTTCCTACAAGATCTAAGATTCTCAAATCCATGTTGGGCCACACAATTTATTTAAGGAATGAAGTGCAGAGAAATAATTTAAGGTAAGTTTTCCTCAGGAGGAAAAGAAAAAAAGAAAATCTCCCGACCAAACCCTAGCCGGCCTCCTCTGTGGCAGGAAACTGCCTCAGCCTTTTCTGTTCTCCGTCATGTTAAAAGCACACCACCCAAGCAAGAGAAGCAAAAGAATCCTTACTTTCTCGTGTCCATAAATCCCACGGAGTTTATGGTTCCTTCGGGTTTCTTCCACCCAATCAGGTACTTGCTGGTGGCGCCCTGGCGGGGGTAGAAGGTCCGGGGGCCGGACGAGGAGGAGGAGGACGACGAGGGGGAGGGGAAGGCAGGCGCGAGCTGCGAGGCGGCAGGATGGAGCTCCTCTTTCGGGGAACTTCTGGCACTGGTGAAGACCACCGGGCTGGCAGAGTGCCGGGAACCCACGGTGCTGAGGAGAAGCGCGACAGAGACCAAAGGGCCCCGGTGTGCACGTGTGCGTCCCGGGGTCCACACGGCAGCTATCAAAGTGTCGTCCGGGACAGGGGTTATGGCCAGTGAAAGAACAGTGACTGTTTCCTAAGATATTAATGGGGCTGGCTGGCTAGTCTTTCTTGTTTTCTCGCTGTAATTTAAATGTCTGCGGTAAAAATGCAACATGGTCACTGTGGCTTAGTCTGCATAGTAAGTGAAAAGGTAAAATCAGCTGAGACGGTCGGGGACGCTCTGAAACATGCCGGCACACCGGAGGGACAGGGGAACCAGCAGTAAAAGGTCTGGTCATCTCAGTGGCTCTCTGCCTTGCCTTCCTCAGGACTAGGGGTCATGGTGAGGCTCCCCAGGTCCGAGCCAGATCAGCACACAGTTCTCCAAACACCCACACCCAAAGCCAAAGGAGCACACTGACGTGTCCTTCCCTGTGGCATCTGGCATTAAGATGGACTCTCTAAAAAAGCTCTTCAATGGAATGAAAGTGGGCCACTATCCTCCACCATATACAAAAATCAGCTCAAAATGGATTAAAGACTTGAACATAAGACCTGAAACCATAAAACTCCTAGAGGAAATCACAGGGGTAAGCTCCTTGACATCGATCTTGGCAATGTTTCTGGATCTGACACCAAAAGCAAAGGCAGCAAAAGCAAAAATAAACAAGTGGCTATGTCAAATTAAAAAGCTGTACAGCAAAGGAAACCATCAATAAAATGAAAAGGCAACCTAGTGAAGGAGAAAATACTTGCAAATCATACATCCGATAAGGGCACATTATCCAGAATATATAAAGAACTCATATAGCTCAACAGAAAAAAATCTGATTAAAAAATTAGCAAAGAATCTGAATAAACATTTTTCCAAAGAAGACCTACAGATGGCTAACAGGTACATGAAAAGATGCTCAACCTCATTAATTATCTGGGAAATGCAAATCTAAACCACAATGAAATATCACTCACACCTGTTAGAATGGCTGTTATCAAAAAGACAAGAAATAACAGGTGTTGGCAAGGACGTGGAGAAAAGGGACCCCTTGTGCACTGTTGGTGGGAATGTAATCTGGTGCAGCCACTCTGGAGAACAGTATGAAGGTTCCTCAAAAAATTTAAAATAGAACTACCATATGATCTAGAAATTCCACTTCTGGGTATTTATCCAGAAAAAGTGAAAATAGTTACTTGAAAGTGTCTACACTCGCATGTTCATTGCAGTATTATTTATAATAGCCAAGCTATGGAAACAACCTAAGTGTCTACTGATGAAGGGATAATGTGACATACATATACAAAGAAATATTATACAGCCATAAAAAAGAAGGAAATTCTGCTATTTGCAACACTATAAATGGACCTTGAGGACATTATGCCAATTGAAATAAGTCAGACAAATACTATATAATCTCACTTATGTGTACCACCTAAAAAAAAAAACCAAGCTCATAGATACAGAGAACAGACTGGTGGTGGCCACAGGTGCGGGGGTGGAGGTTGGGGGAGATGGGGGAAGAGGGTCTAAAGGTACAAACGTCCACATATAAGATGAATCCTGGGGATGTGATGTACAGCATGCTGACTAAATATAAAAACCCGAAGCTTTTCATCATCGATGTGTTTTAAACTCTGGTTCAAGATTACAAAACTAAAGTCTACAGGACTCTAGCAAAAGGCTACTCATCACATATTAAAACTCGGGCTTTTTAAACCTGGGGCTGAGAGTTCAGGTGGTCTACGACGCTGGAGGCCCTTCGGTGGTAGAATTTCCACACATCCCCCCCTAGGATCTCATAGGACCTGAGTCCACACCTCGGGAGCTCTGCTGAGTTCTCCAGGTTAGGCTGAGACCAGAGACGCGGGCTCTTACCATACGGGACTGGGTCACTGAAGGTTCAGTTACCAGGACGTGGTCTCACAGCATTTGCCAGCAGCACTTCGTCTGTCAGAAACCAATGGTCCTGAGCTGAATCAAGTATGGACTTAATAATGACGCATTAGCTACGACCAGTGTACCACAGACAACGGGTGGGGGGTACGCGGGAACTCTCTGGGCCGTCTTCGTAACTATTCTGCCAAGCAAAAACTATTCTAAAACACAAACATTTTTTATTAAAAAAAACTAAGCGAATAAACAAAACAAAAATCAAAAAATCACCCAAATCTTAGTGGTGCTGAGAGAATACACACAGATGAAAGTCAGTCTTGAACCCGCACCTGCAATCTTACCTAAAAATCCATTCCTGCTGGCTTGCATATTAAAGATTCTGGACCATACCATGAAGAACATCTTTATGATAGAGGCAGAGGTTTCTTTAGTTGAATCATAAAAGAAAGGACTGAATCCCAGTGAAAGTAAGAACTTCTATTCCTCAAAAGACACAGAGAAGAAGAATATATGTAAAACATATACCCAACAGTGGGCTCCTACCCAGAATGCAGAACTCCTAAAAATCAACAAGACAGACAACCCAACAGGAAAAATGAGCAAAGATCTAAAAAGGAATTTCACAAACAAGGATACCTAAAAGGCTAATAAACATTAGTACTTATCATCATCAGTTATCAAATTGAAGCCAAAAGAAGAACCAGTACACACTCACCAGAATGGCTAAAATAAAAAAGACTTATGACATCAAGTGCTAGAAAAGATGTGAAGCAACCAGAACTCTCATTCACTACTGATGTGTTACCTGTCACAATCTGGTTGGGACAAAGTAGTTCACAACCTCTGCTGAAGTTGACTGTATGTGTATCATAGGACATAGCAACCCCACGCCTAGGTACAGGCTCACCAGCTGCACACATATGTGTACCAAAGGACATGTACCGGCATCTGTAATACCCCCAAAAGGAAACACTCCAAATGTTCCACAGTAGAACAGATACACGAGTTGCTGTATGTTCTCACAATGTAAATACAGCGATGAAAATAAAGTAATGCTACCTGCTACACATGGATGAATCTCACCAGCATAATGTTGATTTAAAGACACCAGACACAGAATAAAGCATATGGTACGATTCCATTATGTATAAAGCCAAAAATAGGCAAAATGTGTGTGTGATTTTAGGATTCAAGATTCTGTTTACCTTGGGGAGGAGATGGGAATGACCGGGGAAGACAGATGAGAGGATGGGTGTCTGGATGTTCGTTATGTTCCAGTTCTTGACTTGGGTAGTGATTACATGGATATGTTCACTTAGTGAAAATTCATGCCGATGCACAGGTATGACCTGAACCTCTTTCTGTATGCATGTTATGCTTCAATGAGAACACACCCACAAAAATAAATCAAGAGTAGATGACCCGAAAGGAGAAGGCTCTATCAGTCCATGAGGCTCTGTCACAGATTGGAGGGAACCGAGCACCTGTGTTCCGTGAAGGCGATCTGCCAAGTTCTCCACACTAAGTGGGTCTTACTGCCACAGATCAAACATGAGCAGCTTTATTTTTGTAACTAAGGAGGAGGTACCAGGCTCAGACTTCACAAAAAGTATGATAAAAAGAAATGACTCGCCATATTCTGATCGCTCTGACAGTTTTCTTTTTCCCAGAGACTTCTGTAGCTAGAGAGGAAGGGAAAGAAAAAAAATCCCTCACAAGACCTCAGAGGGCACCATAAATTTAAAGTCCATGTAATCTCAATTTGTTTTTACCTCTTGATAACAAATACTCCATTTGTTTGCTTTTAAAATGAAGAAAAGGAATGCAGAACTCTTCCATAAATATCATACGTTAAATCAGTAAGAACAAAATAATAGTAGGTCTCGGGAAAACAGACTAAAAGTGGAAAGATGAATCAGAAGGAAAAAGGAAGCGGGAAGGACATAAAGACAAGCTCAGCCTCAGAGCCTGGAGCAGCACCAGAGACAGCAATACCCAGTAACTCAGGGAGCATCAATAGGAGCTTCCTAAGCGGTTAAGGGTGGATGTAGCTTTTGCAGTCATTTGCTACAATGTGACAAGCTTGTGGCTGTTTATTGCTTACTTAAGGACAAAAGCTATCTCTGGCTTGCAGACTTTCCCCACCTGACTATACCTACCTCATGCACACTTATAACACAGATGTGGGGGTGTCTGCAGCCTCATCCGTGGTTACGGTCTGAAGCAGATTCCGAAAAAGTGAAAAACAGTACATCAGGGTCTAACATGCACATCTTTGTCTTGGATAATCATGTGTTTGCTTTACCTGCCTTGATTAGTATCCACCAGCAAATGCAAGTGTTTGTGAATTACTAGAGCCAATGCATGTTAAGGCATGTTCTATGTTAAAGGACAGACTGCAGGGATTCTGATTGGGTAGGCAGGCAGGCACACAGGAATCTGCACGCTGACTCATTCCCAGCCAATGCCGTGGTCCTTAACTCATAATCTGAAAACCACTGTACCAGATATGCGTTCGAAATGCCCATAGTTTCCATTTCTCAGGAAGTATCTTGATATGATAGCATGAGCATTCAGAACCCTGGGGCTTTCAAAGACTACACATTTGGTCAAAATAGAAATAATTAGCCATGAGAATAAAATGTAAATTGCACAGTCCATTAATTTATAAATAATTTCTCCATTTCTCCTCCTGTTTTACAAAATGGCTATGCTGGTTTTAGCCATAATGTCTGGCCTGCGTGAAAAGGGAAGTTATAGAAAAGGCCTGGAAACATCAGAGAGAGAGCAATATATATATATATATAGTTATACACACACACACACACACACACACACACACAGTTTTGGAGCTCTTTGCTTCCTGTATGAATTTAATTAGTACCATATCCCTGGGAGGCATTCAGTAAGTGTTTGTACTAGATTATAAACTCTTTGAAGGCAGAAATTTTTGTGTATCTACCAATGCCAGAAAACAATAGACTCCCAATAAAATCGTTGTTGGACAAAGGCTTTCTCTTTAGCACGTACAGAGCACACTATTTAACTTGTTTATCTTATTGATAGTCTGTCTCCCCT